CGTAGTCTGCAGCTGATGAGAACTTGTGAAATAGAATGATATCATTTTATACTGCAAATTTCGTCTTCCTTTCTTTATCGAAAGTTAATGGCTTTCATAAAAAAATTATTAGACCACTTTTAGGCGATAGATGAACTTTCTTAAAAAAGTGGAAATTATATAACCCTAGTGAATTTTCAGCTCAGAGTGTGCAGTATGCAGACAGCGAATTCATTCGTACGTAATTTCAATTCGCTTAAATAGCTGGCAATTATTTTTAACTGGTTTGAAGCAATTCAGCTCTTTGAGGTGAGTCATTCTGAATACACAGTTATTGGGTTTGGCTGTAAATGGAGTGGAATGATTATTGAGTGCCTAATTCCCTGTAATCTGGCTTGAGGTTACAACTGGTTGATATCAGTGACTTCTAGCTACTTCTCCCATATTAACCCTACGCTGACTCTGTCAGGTCACCTTATTTGGTTGGGTGTTTCATTGAAACCTCCACTTAGATCATCTTCAGTTGTCATTATATTCAGTGGATCATTTTCATCTTTGAGAATCCCATCTATATCAATCAATAATGACAGCTTATATTCCACAAAGATGCCCTCTGTTCTTTCTAAACGTAACCGATAGACGTAGACTTATGTTTAATGAGTTGTTGTATTATTTGAGTATCATGTTTCTAAGAGGTGAAACCGCTCCCTGTGTTTTAAGATTCCTCCTTAAACTTGAAGTTTTTAAAGGCAAATTTCTTACTTCAGAATATATCTTGTTAAGAAACGACAAGAGTTAGAAGACCAGTGAAAAATGAGGGGAACTGACTAGCTGCGATGATGTCGTTTCCGCACAAAATCTGTAACGACAAAAGGCAAGAGCCAGGCAACAGATCGTTTATTAAGGAAATCAACACATATTTATAGATTTTCATGTACATTATTATAGATTATTGTTAGCAGACAAACACAGTCTTCTGATTGGTTGTTTCTCACTAAAAGTTAATCTTTCATCTCTTTGTGGCTGTTTCTTGAATGTCAGATCATCTATCAGCTAATTGTATCCGCCTACGCAAAGTCTCTTGTCCGCCTTTGATCTTGTTTTCATATGACTAATATTTGAGACATATACATTGACGTCACTTACTGTCTACCAATTTGGCTAGCAGCCAGCTCTCACCACATTCCTCCCTCTGTCAAATAGCCTCGCGTGCAGGCGTTCCGACCTCCTGGGTGATACGTCCTCTCGTTGATGATTGTCACGCAGTGGCTTTTCCCACTGAATCCACTATTGGATCTAACTGGCATTAACTCGTTCCTGTTTGGTATATACCTGACCCCGCTTTTTTGTGATTGTGTATGGTCCTTCCCAATTTGGAAGGAGTTTTCGTGAACCTGGCCCGCATCCAACTGCATATCTTCTATCTCTACACTACACTTGATTCCCGACTGCAAAGGTAATGCACTGAGTCTTTTCTCTCTGCTGAGACTTCGTGACATCCCTCCGCTGCTTCTGCATTACATACTTGATTGCTTCTTTCCGTTCTGCTCTCAATTTCGTCATACTCCACTTTTGGTGAAGGGGCCATGTCTCGCTGTGTATTATGAAACCATCCATATCTCTGTGACACTACACTTGAAGACGAAACGTTATGTTGATATTTGAAATGACAGTGGTTCAGTGGTATAATGGTCATCGGTCACATAGGAGGTCTGTGTTCGATTCCCAGCCAATACACTCCTAAGCCTTGTTCAGTTTACTATCCGGTCATCAAACCAAGAAAGAGAGGAAGTTGGGTATAAGGCTAGTCACACCGCCCTCTTTAAAAACAAACGCTGATGCTTCTGAGACTTCAAAGCTGGAAGCCCCGTATTCAGTTCAGAACTCAAGGAATGAACAAAACGCTGAGAGTGAATTGTCTTCGTTTTTATTTTGCCAGTTCTGTTATTTATCCTTCTTCTTGCTTCTTCTTCTTCTTATTGTTGTACAGAGGTTGTTGGTGCATTGGCTTCAGTTTTGTTAATATGGTTGGTTACTGGTATATTGGTCTACTTGGCTGTTATACGTATTATACACAGTAAGTATGAAATCAATGGAAAAATTATGCTCATAACATCAGCAACAGGAGTTGCAGTAAATGTAATGTAAGTTGAAGATGTTCAGCATTGATCATTTTTGTTTTAATTATCATTACACTTTCATCAGGATTAGAACTTGTGAAGGTTTATGGATTTTAAGTTTTGATATCAACAACTAATATGATAAGGTCGAGGAATATACGAGTTGGTCTCCTGGCGGGAGGCGTAGGGTAACTAGCGTGCCTCTGTTTAGTTTTAAGTTTCGCATGTACTACATGGTCATACAGTACTGTTACACACCGAGTTGTTCACTTAGGAGTTTACAGTGGTATTTGCAATTTCATGTGTTTTTATATAAATATATATAATATTTTCTGCAAAAATCCTTCATTTATCTCACTGGTCGACTGAAGAACACTCGTGGGTTCGCATCACTTAGGACGCTATTGTAGAAATTTGCCATGAGTCTCCTTGTATACTGACTGGTCAGCGTTTGCGATTATGAGTGGTTCGAGTGTGTAGCGCGTCAAACTGGTAACAGCACGAATTCGCGACATGAGAGATGATGAGTGGACAGAGGATGTGGAATTCACTTGACTGTCTGCTGAATGTGTGCGAACTACTGGGAGACCAATCATATGCACTGACGGATGCTTAGTCTTTCAGATGACAGAACTCTATCAGTCAAGTTTTCAGTGTATTCAGCAAGTTAGGTGACTTGGTTATGTTTGATGGCTGAAGATAGTTGACAGAAAGCCTTGGATTTCAGTTACATGCCTAATGGCTCTTGTCAGCAGGATGTACCTGTCACCTCGATGGAACTGATGAGCGCCTCATAGATTCAAAATTGCATCATACAGTGCTGCAGCTCAAGATATACCACTTAGCTTTTCCAGACCATGACAGACGTCTTTTAGGGCTGCAAGTCTAACTGGTGCATTTCAGCCAGCACCAATGCTAATTGGTTAGGAGTGGAACATTGGGCTTCAAGCTTTAAGTTTTAGTAACGCCTGTGTTCTCAGGGGTTGAATTTGCTATCCTCAAGCCTTCTCCCATTTTGGGCTTACTACTGACCAGTATAAGGAGCGTGCATCTGTCAGAAATCGAACTTGGGTCACTTGCGCAGGTGGCGAGCATTCTGATACTGAACCACTGACTCCCTGATACCCGGTACCTTCAAGTTACAAGGCTAGGCTGTTGACCGTTCAGTCACTGAGATAGAGTTATCCTTTAGGTCGCGCTAAGGATTATGCACATGATGTAGTTTACTTCCAAGTGACCTCAAACCACCTTACAGCTTATAGATGGACACATTATAATGCGATCACTTTGTAACAACAGAAGACAAGGGCCAGGCAAAAGATCGTTAACTGAGAAAGCCAACAAATATTTATAGAATATTATGTACGTTATTATTAGCAGAGAAGCAACGTTTTCTGCTTGGTTGTTTTCTTGCTGAAGGTTATTTTGTCGTCTCTTTGTAACCGTTTCTTATAAAGTTAAGCCATGTATCTGCAAATCGTATTCGCACACATTAAGTCTGCTGTGATTGGTTGTTGAGTTCCTCAAGGTTAAGCTTTGTTATTGTTTTATCTCATGACCCCAATTTAGGACGTAAACACTGATGTAAATTGTTGTCTACAATTCTGGTTAATAGACAGCTCTCACCACAAATTGAGCATGGCCGTACTGAGAGTTTGCTATCCAGACGTATCACTGTAAACTAACTTTAGTAGTTTTGTAGAGACAGCTGACCAACTCCAGACAATAATCGAACCTGACAGTCAGCTTCAAAATTGTCTGCGGAATACGCTTAAATCTTGCTAAAAGGATATAAGGCAAAGTTCTTCAAACCTCGGGAGCTATGGCACTCCATGTGTTGAATCATAAACTCTGCATATAAAGGAATTCAATTCAGTCAGTGAACTTAAAATGGACTTATTCACCGGATAGGTGATTTTTTGACTTGAAATTACATTATTTTTCTCCTCGCCTACTATCTTCTGTCGTTACAAGTTGAGTTCTACTCAGTCCTGTTCGTTCGTCAAGTAATTTTGCTTATTTAATTTTATTTCAGTATATAGCCTACTATCGCCAATGATTTTCCTGATCGCAGTAGACTGGATAATGCGACAGACGAAGGGCAGTGATGAAACAAGCATAAAATGGACCCACACAAAGAACTTGGAGGATCTGGACTTCGCCGATGATATATGTCTGATTTCCAACAAACTGGAAGATATGCAAGTGAAAAGCAACAAGTTGACAGAAGAAGCATCGAAGATAGGACTCCAGGTGAACATAGAGAAGACAGAGGTGATGAAGATTCCTGGGCAACACCACCAACAGCAACAACAACAACAGACAACAATCAGCCAGCATAAATGGGAGGAAGCTGAAAGAAACAACCTCCTTTAACTACCTATCTAACTACTTACCCACCTGGGAAGCATCGTTTCAACTACAAGCGGACGGAGCTGATGAGGATATCAAAGCAAGAATTGGAAAAGCAAGACAAGCTTTCATTTCTGTCAAGTCCGTGTGGAGGTCAACAACTCTCAGCATCAAAAATTAGATCCGGATTTTCAACTCCAATGTGAAGTCAGTCAGTGCTACTATACGGATCAGAGACTTGCACTGCGCGTCATAAAGAGCATCTCAAACAAACTACAGACCTTCATCAACAGTTGTCTTCGCTCACTACTCAAGATCAGATGACTGGCCAGAAAAGATCAGCAACAGAGATCTCTGGCAATGAGCGAACCAACCAGGAACCGATTGTGCAACAAACAGGCAGGAAGAAATGGAGATGGATTGGCCATACTCTGAGAGAGCGAACCATCAAGTGACATCACTAGACAAGCCATTGCTCGAGTGGAACCCTAACGGGAAGCAGCGAGTTGGTCGTCAGTACGAGGGTGACTTGGAGGAGGTCATGTGAAGAGGAGATGAAAACGTGTGGGCAGACTTGGAGCCAGGTGAAGACTCTAGTAGAGAACCGAACGCAATGGAGACACACGACTGTAGCCCTATGTTCCTCTAAGAATTAAAGGATATAATAATAATAATATAGGCAGTTTACGCCTTCTGTATTGCGTAATTGTCATCTAAAATTTGCAACTCTGTTGATACATCTTTGGAAATATAACTTTTGTAGCTAAGGAAATTCACCTTGGAGAAGAGAAATTCTTTGCGGAAGTCATCTTGTTTTTAAATCTAACACGGTAGGGACTTTTAATTGACAACTTGTTTTATCCAAAATTAGGATATTTAAATGCATGTTTTCCTTACACTTTTGTTGTTTTATTATATCTCAGTATGCTGTTAACATTACATGATCATGGTCACGGTCACAGTCATAGTCATGGTCATGGACATAGTCACAGTTCATCATCTTCAATTGAGCATACACATTCAACTGATATACCAAACACTATAAAATCTGAATCGACTAACTTCAATGGAATACACAAAGAGCAGAATAACAATAATAATAATATTGACAATTTATCGTCTTCAATTGATGTTGAACATGGTGTCAGCAAAGAACGGCATAAAGCAATGACTCGTCAAAATATTACTGTACGTGCAGCTTTTATTCATGTGGTCGGTGATCTGTTACAGAGTATTGGAGTTATGGTTGCTGCTATGGTTATTTATTTTCAGGTAGGTAATTTCCTGATTGTCTCTTTATAAAGAAACAATTTAAGATTGTTTAAATTAGAAATTAGGTAATAATTTAAAAATTATCAATTTGATATAACGAATTACATACCAGTTCACTCAGGTAGGTAGTTAGGGTCCCCCCAATGGTTTGAACTCAATGGAGTCTCTGAATTGGGTTGAAACCTGGCACACGGCTGATGAAGTCGGTGAAAAACGAACGAAACGGCTTTTCAGTGTTCAGATCACCCCAATATGGATGGTTAGGAAGCACTATTTGGTGGATGTGTTTGGTATTAACCTACTCACATCAGCCAATCCCTAGAATGCGGACTCAAAACAAAATAAAAATAATCCTTACAAACCAACTATTGAAAATTGATATGATGCTCGCTAGTGACTTGCTACAGAATGGAGTTTCCTGGAGTTCTAGTGAGAAGTCGTGACCAGTGAGGTGCATCCAGTCAAGTGTGAGGATGGATGTCCCACCGACGACATTGGTTGGTGGTCGTGCTAAATCATGAATTGGTAGAAGTTAGAATTCATGGACTGGGCAATGAATTGGGTCCCAGTGCCTGAATGATATACGAGCTTAACTTACAACCGGAAGGCCCAGGATTCGAACCCCCTGTGGTGGTTGGGTACTACCGATGCGTCCCAAACTAGGATGGAGGAAACAGCTGTCCAGTACTCCAGTGCTAGTTTTCAATGGTTGTCTAACTGATATCAATACGTGATCAACTCGTAAAAATGTCAAAACAAATACACTTTTAAGTGAACCATTTTGATTTTCTTTTTAAAGTAAACCAAGAATGGTAAAAATGAACTAAAATAAAAGTGTAGGATCCTATTTCTGTAATCTGGCAGACGATTTGATTGTTAAGGTGCTTTGTATAGGATGTATGTTGATGATATCACTGTGATACACAATGAGAATTTAGCCACGACTTGTCTAAATCGAAATACTTAACTGTGCACAACAAAATCAAATCAGTCTGACGTTTGAGGCAGAATGTGGCAAACAGCTTGCATTCTTAGGCATAATTTTGACGTGGGGAAGATGGCCTAGTGAAGCAGTTAATTCATAGAAAGCCTGCTTAGACAAAGCAGTGTTTAAATTTTCTCTACTACAATATAAGCAAGGGTTACTGAAGTGCTTATTCAACAGGATTCAGCGTATTTGTGTAGATAATGTTAGGGAGTGATGACAATGAAAGGTTCACGGATGCACTTGTCGAAAATGGATATTATCTGAAGGTTCTGAGCCGGTGTAAATGTCATTTATCTTCGTAGACTACAGTCTATTCCGTGCCATGGAAAGACATCTACATCAAATTACTTTACAATAGAGAAATAAACATTACGATTTTAAAAATTACTATGCAATTAGGCTTATAATGATCGAAAACGTCAGAAACGTACTCATCTGGAAGCCTCAACTTTGCACAGTTGATTATGCCACACACCATGCTGTATATTGACACACATTTATGAAGAAGATCAATCGTGTCTTGTATGTGAGGGTGGAAGAATATATGTGAAACCTCTGTGAATGCAGATGACAGACTATCAGTCTTGTCTGTGGTAAAACACCTAACTGATATGAATCTTAGAATCAATATCAAAAACCGTCAGCGGCGTATACTGAAATAAATTGGGGTGATAGTCATTCAAAAAACAATTTGTTATTAGCCTTACTCAGCATAAGGAACTAGATTCACATTCTCAACACCAATGTGAAGTAGGTTAGTTCTTCTTCTATACGGGTCAGAAACTTGCACAACGTGTCACGAAATGGATTTCCAACAGTTTGCAGACTTTCACCAACAGCTGCCTTCATTGGCTCCATATTGAAGATCATATGGCCAGCCAGTCAGAATAAGCAACAAGAAACTATGGGAACAAACCAACAGGCGAGAGTCGATCGCCCAACAAATATGTAGGAGAAAGTGGGGATGGATCGGGCATACATTGAGGAGGCCACCGAATGACATTGCACGTCAGGCCGCTACTCAAATGGAATCCCAGTGGGAAGTGGCGACTAGTGAGTCGTCGGTGTGAGGGTGATATGGAGGAGATCGTCTGAAGAAGAGATGAGAGAGTTTGGTCAATCGTGGACCCAGCTGATGAGGACGACAGAAAACAGAACAAAGCGGAGATGTGTTGTTGAAGGTCTATGTTCCACTCGGAACGTTAGGGATTAATAATAATAATTGCCCTTAATCTCTCGGCAATCCTTAAATGAAGATATTGTCAGGTGTAACGTCAATTGTTATCCATCTTATTTTTAAATACCTCATTATTTTGTTTATTTTAACTGACTTTTTATTTTGCATATAAACTGATGTGACAAGTAAATACGTGATCAGATTGTGTTCGAAATGTATTGCGCAGTTACGTCACAGCTGTCAGACAAGCTACGTATTCTAAAATAGCGTTATCCAAACTAACTGAAGGGACTAATGATTTTATATTTTTGACAAGTAGAATCCATTAAAATATTAGAAAGATTGATTCTGATTAAGACAATTCACCTCAGTTAATAAGCTTCATCCATATGCACACATTCTGGACACAGTAAAAACGATACAGGGCAAATAAAATGGAACAGTAGACCCTTTGGTTATCTTCATGAATGTGGATTCACCCAACAGCAACGAGGAGGAAATGATTGGTGTTTTCTCTCTAGTAGCCTTGAGATACATGGAATGATTTTCCTGATTGCAGTAGATTGGATAATGCAACAGACGGCGGGCAATGAGGAAACAAGCATAAAATGGACTCACACAAAAAACTTGGAAGATCTAGACTTCACCTATGATATTTGTCTGATTCCCCGCAAACTGGAAGATATGCAAGCGAAAAGCAGCAAGTTGACAGAAGAAGCATCAAAGATAGGACTCCAGGTGAACATAGAGAAAACAGAGGTGATGAAGATTCCTGGGCAACAACAACAGCAACAACAACAAACAACAATCAGCCAGCAAAAATGGAAGGAACCTGAAAGAAGCAACCTCCTTTACCTACCTCGGAAGCATCGTTTCAACTACAGGCCAGCGGAACTGACGAGGATATCAAAGCAAGAATCGATCGGAAAAGCAAGACAAGCTTTTACTACTCTCAAGTCTGTGTGGAGGTCAACAACACTCAGAATCAAAATCAGAATAAGATCCGGATTTTCAACTCCAATGTTAAGTCAGTGCTACTATACGGATCAGAGACTTGCACTGCGCGTCATAAAGAGCATCTCAAACAAACTACAGACCTTCATCAACAGTTGTCTTCGCTCACTACTCAAGATCAGATGACTGGCCAGAAAAGATCAGCAACAGAGATCTCTGGCAATGAGCGAACCAACACAGCAGGAACCGATTGTGCAACAAATAGGCAGGAAGAAATGGAGATGGATTGGCTGGTCATACTCTGAGGAAACCATCAAGTGACATCACTAGACAAGCCACTGCTCGAGTGGAACCCGAAAGGGAAGCGGCGAGTTGGTCGTCAGTGCAAGGGTGACTTGGAGGAGGTGATGTGAAGAGGAGATGAAAACGTGTGGGCAGACTTGGAGCCAGGTGAAGACTGTAGCAGAGAACCGAACGCAATGGAGACTTTCGGCTGAAGCCGTATGTTCCTCTAGGAATTGAAGGATACTATAATAATAATAAATAAGTCTTGAGATAAAAGTAGGGAATATGTATTGGATCTTCAGTAGTGATGCAGACTTTAAATGGAAATCTCCGATAAAATTCATACAGTCGTCCCACAAAAGCAAAGATACTCTTTAGTAAACTGCTACGTACTCTTGAATTAACGATATTCTGGTTTCTCACCAATAGAAAACATTTTTTATTCAAGTGTTGGTTTGTAGGGATTTGATTGGTTACAGGATTTTCATCATGAGCTGACATTAGTTAGAAAACCATCGGAAAACCTGGGAGTACTGGACAGCTGTTTCGTCCTAGTTTTGGGCTCTTCAGCAGTACGCATCCACTACACGGGGTACGAACCCAGGACCTTCTGGTTACAAGGTGAGCTACTCGTAGACCATTGAGCCACTGGGACCCGATCCAATGGTCCATGAATTCTAACTTCCTGTAACCAATAAAATTTCCTACAAACCAACACTTGAATATCAATGAGATGCTCACTAGCGACTGGGCCTATTCAGATAGGTAGTTACCTGGGGTTCTTGTGATAAGTCGTGACCAGTAGGGTGCAGCAGGTAGGGTATGAGGACAGATACTCGCCGATGGCATTGGCTAGGGGTCACGCTATATCGTGAATTGGCAGAAGTTAGAATTCATGGGCCATTGGATTGGGTCCCAGTGGTACAATGGTCTACGAGTAGCTCACCTTGTAACCAGAAGGTCCTGGGTTCGAACCGTCGCGGTGGGTGCGTACTGATGAAGAGTCCCAAACTAGGACGAAACAGCTGTCCAGTACTTCCAGGTTTTCCAATGGTTCTGTAACATTTTTTTAAATTATGAGTTTTACAGAGGTTGGGATTGATTTTTTTTTATTAGATTTCGTTGCGAACTGACATCGGTTACAGATCAATAAAAGCCAAAGAGCACTGAACAGCTCTGTTTCATTCTAGTTTGGAACTATTTTTCCGTGGGTACCCACAATCCTACCAGAGAATAAACCCAGAACCTTGAGGCTTTGAGGTCTAACTCACCAATTAAAAATCCCCACAAAATTCGTAACCTAAACATCTGTCTCCAGCTCACTGGCGGCCTTTCGATGGATGTTTTGAAGTTGTGATGAGTAGCCTCGGCTAATGAGGTCAACATGTTGAGGTAAAATCTATGCCCATTAATGTCATTGGTTGGTAGTAGCATTATATCATGAGTTGAAAGAAGTTAGAATCCACCAATCATTCAATTCCTGCCCAAATGGCTGAAAACTTAACAAGCTGACCTCACAGCTTGATCAAGGCGCTGCATTCCATCCTTAGCGGGGCGGCGGGGGTTCATGGATGCTTACCGATAAACAGTCCCAAACACACTGACGAACAAGCTTACACTAATAATCCTTTTAACCATTTTCTTTTTTTTTAAATCTCCTTCCAGCCAGCGTATAAAATTATCGATCCAATATGCACATTCCTCTTTTCTGTACTTGTATTGATTACAACTATCAATATACTACGGGATACTTTAAATGTTCTCATGGAAGCTACTCCACGTGGATTGAATTTCAATGAAGTTAAAAATGCATTGATTGATATACCAGGAGTTAAAGAAACTCACAATTTACATATATGGAGTTTAACAACAAATAAAATGGCGATTTCTGTACATTTAGCTATAGGTAAGTAAAAAATAAGAGATAATTATTTAAAATTCTTCAAATATGATTCAATCAATAATACACTCATGATGTTACTTGATAGATAATAGTTCCTGGTGAACATCAAGATGGAGATTTCATTCTGTTTGATAAGGGTGATGGTGTTGTAATTAAGGTTGAAGACGAGCATGTACTGTTGCTTCAAATGCCAGGGTGATATTCACTAAGTAAATGAGTCACAATAGCCACGTTTTTATCATTCAATACTATTTGTTAGTTGGATACCATTGCAAGTACCGCAACGTCATGTTCAAATCGAAAATAAAGTCAAAGTACAAGAAGTTCAGCAAAGATATCTGGTTTTTCGGCGATTTCATTCTCGAAAGCAGCTGTACAAACGCATTTATATACATATAAGTTTACATGGATACAATTATTATTTATTTAATTGCACATAGTAACGAAGAGGATAATAATTTTCAACCTGATATGAATTACAAGAGGCTTAGAGACGAAAATTACGCAGGGATAGGACGAATTACAGGTGTGAACAAAATGAGCATGGAAACAAATTGAAATCAAAATTTTCAACTTGAAATGTAAGTTAGGAGGTGTGAATATAGATTACAAGACGCACAGAAACAAAAAATTACACAGGATTAGAATATCATTGTAAAATGGTTATTCTAAACGGATTACAAGTGTGATCAGGAGGAGCATGAAAACAAACTTAAAATAACTGATTTTATAACTGAAAAATATGGGATGAATTGAATGAAGACAAAGAGAGAAAATTATACACACAGAGAACAAAACAGGAAAACTGAAGGATAAGGGAACATACCGAAGTAGGTCCATGGTAGTTGTAAAGGCTGGACTAGTTTCTTCTGAACACAGCTCTGGCTTTTCGATGCATATGGCAGGAGCTATGCATTCAAAGGAAACTTATCCAGCCTTTGAAACTACTATGGACCTAGTTCGGTATGTTCCCTTAACCTTCGGTTTTTTGTTTTGTTCTCTGTGTGTGCATTTTTCCACTCTTTGTCTTCATTCAATTCATCCAATTTTTTCAGTTATAAAACCAATTGTTTTAAGTTTGTTTCCATGCTCCTCCTGATCACACTTGTAATTCGTTTAGAATAACCATTTTACAATTACACTCTAATCCTATGTAATTTTTGTTTCTAAACCTCTTGTGAAGGCAACATTATCTGCAGAATAAATTGTAACAACTGCGAAAAACACTACATTGGCCAAAGTGGACGTCCCCTTTGTCTTCGTGCCCATGAATATAAGCTATCCGTCAAAAGACATGACATCCACTCCCTTATATCAACGACAGACATCAATTAGACTGGAAAAACGTTCAAATATCAGACAGAGGAAACACCAAGAATGCTAGAGAATTTTTAGAAGGCTGCCTGGTATTCCACTGAATCACCAGTCAATAGACACGTCGAGATAGACAGAATTTACCAACCGAAAAGAAGGAAACCTCACACACGAAGGGTCAAAGTTCAAGGAACCAATAAGTTCCATTACAAGTAGCCCAGAGGGTGTGAAAACACACAAATTAACCAATCACGTCCAAGGTCACCGGGAAAAATGACTAATAAAGTCGTGGAGAAATGTAGAAGCTCACTTCAATTGGAATTGAAGTATGTCCTGAAGAAGTTGCCTAGTAGGGTAATGAAAGCTTCGCACACTAACTATCCAGCTCAGAGAACATAACCACATCAAAGTCATCCACCTGAGCTACAAGCCTTCCCCATAATATCTAGGTCTTTCCCATTCATGTCACAGAGCAGCAGTCGTTCAAACAGAGCAACAAAGATTCAAATTATTTGTTCTAGAAATCACTGTAGGAAAGCAATAGACGAAGAAATACGCCAGCCCAAATGAGCTCATAGTGCAACGGTATAAGACGAGATATCTCTATATAGCAAAATTGGGTACACCTTATCTTCAAATCACCATTTGCACAGACCTTCCGTGTTGTGCCACCTCTGGCCTTCCTTCGTATATTGTTTCTTTGTGTTACTTTCACGTCTTCCATGTATCTCCTCAACGCTGTATCATTTGATTTCTATGACATCATCAAATCCCTCTCCCTGATACTTGATGTCCCTTTATGCTGACGAACGTCTCTTCATATACTACTGATAAATCTTATCAGTAGCACACTTCACAATAAAAAAACTCGTTTTCTTTTAACAGACTAAGGATTATTTTTCAAATTTGCAAACCTTGTACAAAAACAGTTTCACCAAGGTAAGAAATTACTCAAGAATAGGCATATACAAAAATAATTCTTTCGGCTAATCTGTAGACAAACTCTATCTCCTTCAGTGTATAGCAGAAACTTTCTTTCCTTTTTTACCACAGATTTATTGAAAATAATTTGAGACAACTGAAAATTTATTCAATTTTTTGACAATTTATTTTATGCATGGGGATTAATTATGATGAAAAACCAAGGAAGAATTGTAATCTGTTTACCATAGTTTTAATATTTTAAAATGAGACATTTATGAATCTGCTATGATATAATATAATATGATTTATTCTATAGGATGAAGACTGAAACGTATGTAGTTTCATCATGATGGCGTCATATGTGATGATGTAACTGCTATGCATGTAGTTATGCAAATCAGATTTAGCCCAACGGTGGATATTTAATTGAATTTTAGATTTTCTCGTCGATTGATGGGACCGAAGTGCTCGGTATCGGGTTGACATGTCGGCTTCTTGTGCAGATGCTTTGACGATGTCTGGGTGTGCAATTAGAATTTCATTGGTGGATGGTAACTACCAGTGGAATCCAGGATAGCGCACATTTCGTCCTATTTGGAACTCGTCAACTGGATGTACCTGCATTCCTCAGTCAGTGAGTGATGATGTTCCCACCGAGGCTCGAAACCAGTGCCCATAGTTTCAAACGCCAAAGCGTTATCCACTAGATCACTTTGGCGACGAGAACCACCTCTTATATAACGGGTCATATGAATTATTTAATTGAATTTTAGATTTTCCCGTCGACTGATTTGACCGAAGTGCTCGATCTCAAGTTGACATGTCAGCTTCTTGTGCAGATGCTTTGACGATGTCTGGGAACTGGATTTGAGCCTGGGTCGGAACGTCATTATTCACTGCGGAATGCAAGTACATCCAGCTGACGAGTCCCAGATAGGACGAAGTACGCGTTATCCTGGATTCCACTGCTAGTCACGATCCACAAACGGTGTAAAGTTCATTTTTCTCATGAACTTCTACATTTTTACATTCCTTCATGAATTATGAAGGTCTTTTGCTTCTCCTTCTCATATATTAATTGCTGAAATTAATAAATTTTGTTGAATCTGGGGGAAAGAGTATCAAAACTCTGTGCAACAGGGGGATTATAATCAACTATCAGATATTATACGTAATACTATTACTCCCTTAGGTTGTGGGTAGAAAATACAGTCTCAGAAAAACGTCGTCATTTCATTCTCTTCTTTCCAGTCCTTACGAAACGATCTCCACGATTTTTCATAAGTTTCCATCTCCTCCTGACACAATCTCCTCCATAACACTCTTAGACGCATGCCTAACTCTTCGTTTCCCATTTGATTTTCACTCTGCAATCTAGTGCTTGATGTCACTGAAAAGTCTCTACAGAGTGCATCCAATCACTCATTTCCATCATTTCCTTTTCCATATTTGTTGGGTGAGTGATAGGCACTTGGTAAGCTCGTTGTTTATTCCTCCTGGCGGCCATCTGATCTTCAGTAGTTAGGGAAAACAGCTGCTGATGAAAGTTTACAGTCTTTTAGGAATGTCATTCATGACGCATGCACTAAGTCTCTGAACTCAAATAAGGCACTGACTGACTTGACATTAGTCTTGAAAATCCGGATCTTGTTCCTTATTCTAAGTGTGGCATGCTCCTGCAATCATTTGACATTCATTTGATTAGGAATCAATACTATATAAGCAAAAAGAACTGCATTCATACTGATTCTCTTTACAATGAAGTGAATATAGGTACATATGCCACAAGATGAATAGTTTTCATGTCTTAATTAAGATTAATATAAACTTTATTTGTTTTTACGAGTTGATCACGGATTGATGTTAGTTAGAGAACTATTGAAAACCAGGCAGTACTGGATAGCTGTTTCATCCTAGTTCGGGAATCATCGGCAGTACGCACCCAGCGCCAGGGTTCGAACTCAGGACCTTCCGGTTACGAGGCAAACTCGTACACCATTCAGCCACTGGGACCCGATTCAGGGGCCATTCCATGAATTCTAACTTCTACCAATTTATGATTTAGCGCGACCCCAACCAATGTCGTTGGTAGGATATCAATCCGTGATCAACTCGTTAAAAACAAAACTAATCCTTACTAACCAACTATAGAAAACTTTATTTATGTGTTATAGATATCCTACTGTGAAAATAGATTTTTAATACATTATCATTCGGGTAATTACTGAGGATGTTTTCTTTCTCAGTTTTCATCCAAATCAAAGGCAAAACCATGATTTCCCCAAATTTTTATTCTTTATTTACAAATGTAACTCTTATACAGACGGTTGACATTGTATGTGATTACATCTCTAACAACAGTTTCCTATTACCAGTTTCCATATCTTATTTAAAAGAGTTACTGCTTCAATGTACTAACGATGTTAAGCTTATATTTGAGGGCAAACATTTCCCTCAGAAGGAAGTGTTGCTATGGGAATCCTCCTAGGTTAGCTAATATATACATGTCGCGTGTTGAGAACCTAGCTGAGGACGTAATTGGGAGAGTTTATTTTCATAAGTGCGTCGGTGGCACAGTGGTTAGGACTCTCGCCGACCATGCACATGGTCCGGGGTTCGATCCCCTGCCGGCGCACACCCGATATCTATGGTATGCCTGAATTTGGGCAACCGATATCCACGCTGAAAATTCCACACTTGTACTGAAAATACGGTGTGGAATCAAGCTGTAAATCAAAAAAAAACATACGTGGATGACATGATAGTCATATATGATAAACCGACAAACGCCATGGAAACCCTAACCAGATCAGTAGAGTACAAAACAGCATATCACTGACGTACTTTAAGAGAATAATGATTTTAAAACAATCAGTTCCCTTTATGAATTTAGATAAAGCAAAGAGAAGACGTAATTTGTCTGAATCGTGTAATGTATTTGTGCAACACATTTCGGACAATCTGATGACACACGGACTGGTCATAGGAATATATGTGAAATTAAAAAAGAGTTAAGACGTGAGAAAATAGACTTCGGTCAAGTTAAAAGCACTTACTGAAGGTCAAAATAACAATGAAGACCACTAAACCGAATAGCAGAGGTAATAGTACATCTGCTATGGTATCAAAACAAAATTTACCAAGGAAGGTTTAATGTGATGACGAAGTGTTTTTGAACACATAAAGTTTGTTTAAACTTCCTAATTGCCAGCTAGGAGTTCTAAAAACTTTAGGCTATGCCCCAGATACGTTTTATGGATGGATAGGTTTAAAAGATGTGTTTACGTCAATTTTATGTCCTGTCTCTTTAATATTTTTCACAACAGAGGAGCTAGGTCTCCTTTTCTCACCATTAATGGGTTCTGAAGACTGATTGCTTGCCATTTTACATGCAGTCATAACCCGCTGACAAGATGGGTCAGTAAAACGATCTGCCAACAGAAAGTCCACATGGACGGGACAGTATCTAAATTATCATAATTTCTGCCCACTACAGTATAAAAAGGCATTGGTTAAGTGTTTGTTCAAGCGCATTCACCGTATATGTACTGCCGATACAATTGAAGAAGAAAGACAACACCTCACTGAAATATTGTTAGATAACAATTACCCACTGAGATTTATTAGGTGTTACGGAAGTGTCAACCATAGAGCTCTACCAATCCAATCAGCTCCCCAAAAAGATGTTCATATATCCTTGCCGTTCAGGGGTGATCAACAAAGTCTGGTCACTAGACAAAGACTCAAGGCGGCAATTAATAGAACTTATTATGCAGCTAAACTTATCTTCATAGAGAAAACGAGAACTATGCTGTCCTGTAAACCCTCACAGTATCCGAACAATAGTGTCACATCCTAATTGTGTTTATCAATTTACGTGTATGTATGGACACACGTACATAGGGAACACCCATCGGTTTCTGCAGGTTAGGGCTACAGAACATATTCCAAAGTGTCTTCAACAACAAACAAATTCGTCAGATACAAGTGATCCCGGAAATAGATGTCCAACATCATCTATAGAGAAGCACATGATAGATAGGGGACATAAGGTTGATTTGCCAATGCCTTTAAGCCCATATATAAAACAACGTTGGATCACATACTTAAATTCGTTGAAGCCTTAACCATAAAAAGACCCTAATCTGTCTCATGTGCCCAAAAGTTATTTGTTATTACTTTAAACCTGCCTTAGTAAAGTGGGTCGGCCGAGAATCGAAACCGCAATAACGTGCGTGGTTGGTGGACATTCCTCCCCTGAATTACCAATGGCCAACTACCGATTTTTAATTCAGTTCCAATCTACTTTTCATCTTGTATTTTTATAAAATTCTTATTTTTCTTTGTATATTTCTCTTATTTACAGAACCAAATGCAAATCCACAAGAGATACTGAAAACAGCAAATCGTTTATTAAGAAAACGCTATTTAGCGCATGATGTAACAATACAACTAGAGAATTATGTCGATGAAATGGCTATTTGTCATCAGTGTAAAGAACCTTCAAAGTGAAAAATGTGAATATATATATATAATTCTCTCACCTCCATTCTTAGTCAATTTCGCTGAGAAGAAGTTAACCCCTTCCCTTAAAAAGTCAGTTGCTTATAACTAATAAGTGCATATTTAACCGCTTCGCTATTTGATTAATGCCATATTGGTGCACTGGAAAAATTGTACTACCACTAGTACTGCTCACACAACTTCAACTATCCTTTACTGCTTTTATCAGAAATCTGTTGACGAAAGCTTTTATTAGTCGCCTACAATCAATCTTCTATCAACAGGCATTATATATAAGTTTTTCATCAACTAATAACTCAGTAGTTTCTACACCTTTTTTCTGCCTTTTCAATTATGAGATGAGCGTAGTTCTTAGTTTATATTCCTGAGAAGACTTACAAACACTTTTTTCTGAAGTACAAGATAATCTACTTGTAAGTAGTGTAACTGTGTACCCTGAAAAAAACGTGAATTTTTGTCGAATTGCAAAAACAGTGATCTTTGAAAACTTCGGCTATTATTCAGTTATATCAAGATTTTCGTTGAATAACTTATGAATACATGGATATTTCGCACTTATGATCCATGATCATGATCTGGGATCTTGTAATGATATCTGAAGCTTTTTAAAAATGACCTTTTATCACTTCTTTCAATAGTCAATAATGATTTTTGTCCTTAACTTTTTTGTCTTGTTTTGTTTTGAATAAACGCCATTTATATATGGGCAAATTATTTTTCGCTATCTTCTTCATAAGTGGACTGATAGGTTGGCCTTTCATTTGTGCTCTTAGCTTTACAAAGATTTTTATCAATTTATTGTTTTAATAGTCTGTGATAAACATGTGTTGAAGACAGAAATCTGATTGCATTTATTCTCGAATAAATTTATTATTTATATTCCATTGATAAGAATAGAAATAATACAGATTGTGGTTTTTAACGCTTTAATGGGTGTGTGTGTTTGTGTGTTTCTTCAATGCCTTGTCTCTTCTTCTGTCGAGTAAAAAAGTTCATATTTGATAACAGAATTATTTTAAGTAAACAAACGAATATTTATACATATATAAAAATGTTACAAGCGTAAATTGGGCTAATTTAAACTTTGAAGCACCACTAACTACCAATGGAGTGCGACCGCACCAGTGACCTTGAAACGGTCACTGGACAAGTTAGTAAAACCTGGCGAATAATGTTGTCATCATCAATAAAATATGCTCATCGAAGTGTTATGTTATTAAATGGGATATCTGGCAAGTTTCAGCTTAGGTTTGAAAAAGATTCAGTTACGCTCTAAGCCAAGGATAAGTTAGGGTTAGGTTAACCTAACAATGGCGACATTTGGGTTGGTTAGAGTTAAATTACAGTTTAGAGATAATTTCACGTCGGGGTTAGGTTCAGGAAAGATTAGGGTTATTGTTAGGGTTAGAAGACCTAAAAAAGTACATGCATGGAATGTGGTAGAGTATAATTCCATTGTGGTAAAATCCATTTTTTATAAAGTCTCATAGTGTTATACAGTAATATTTACTGATAACAACGTTTCGAGCACAATTTTTTGCTCATTTAGTATTACTGTATAACACTATGAGACTTTATCAAAATAAATTTTACCCATAATGGAGTTATACTCTGTTGATACTCCAACCTAAAACTGAGAGCTTTTTTTATCACATGTGGGAGGAATGTATCCTCTGTAATACTTTTACACAGTTTTTATTCACTTTTTCATAAATACACGTATTCCGCACACAAAAATGCCTCCTTCACGTGACTGGTGCTTTCGAGGTCATTCACTGATTGGTAGTTTGTAGTGCTTAAAGTTCAACTTTGCCGTGAATTGGTGCATTGAGTTATGGAGTGGATGGGGGACTAAAAAGGGTTGAAATTTTATTTGGAAAATATTTAATATTTCGAGCAATAAAGGACAATTCTGAGTGCAGCGTAGAATGCGGTACAATAAGAATTTTTCTTCTTTCAAAAGTGATATTGGAATAACAGAAGGCAAGACACGGAAACCAAGGTATATTTTCAATTGATCAAACCGCTGTTTACATACAAACAGTTTATACTCTTAAACCAGTGGCTGAGCGTGTGATTTCGGTTTACAACAAACAACATGAAATAGAATGTTCAAGTATACTTGGTGTTCTTTTGTTAATGCAGTATATAATCGTGGGAAATGTATTCTGTCTCTAAAATCAAATAGAATGTTCGAATAGATATAATGTATCCTGTTGTTAATGGCGAATGGAACTATGGGTGTAACGACAGAAGACAAGGGTCAGGGATCAGATCATTTACTGAGAAAAACAACAAATATTTCTACGAGTTGATCACGGATTGATATCAGTTAGAGAACCATTGAAAACCAGGCAGTACTGGATAGCTGCTGTTTAATCCTAGTTTGGGAATCATCTCTAATACGCACCCACCACTAGGCTTCGAACCCAGGACCTTCTGGTTACAAGGAGAGCTCGTACACCATTCAGTCACTGAGACCCGATTTAATGGCCAGGTCCATGAATTCTAACTTTTACCAATTCGTGATTTAGCGCGACCCCAACCATTGTCGTTGGTGGGACATCCATCCACACACGTGACATCTAATTGGACCTCACTGGTCACGACTTCTCACTAGAACTCCAGGAAACTCCATCCTGTAGCAAGTCACTAACGAGCATCAGATTAATTTTTTATAGTTTGGTTTGTAAGGGCTAGATTTGTTTTTACGAGTTGATCACGGATTGTTATCAGTTAGAGAACCATTGAAAACCAGGGAGTACTGGACAGCTGCTGTTTTATCCTAGTTTGGTAATCATCGGCAGTACGCATTCACTGGAATTTTTATGTACCTTATTAATAGTATTATTGTTAGCAGAGTAGCAACGTCTTCTGATTGGTTGTTTTCTCGCTGGAAGTTATTCTGTTATCTCTTTGTGGCCGTTTCTTTGATGGTCAAACCATATACCTGCTAATCGTATCCGCCCACGCGAAGTCTTTGTTCTTGTTTTTCTCAAGACCAAGATTTGGGACGTAAACATTGACGTATATTGCTTTCTACCAATTTTGTCTAGCAGACAGCTCTCACCACATGGAAATATGTGAGAATAGTATTCAGTTGGCGCACATTGTCTCTATCACACCACCACAATAGTTGAACTTTGCATAAGCTTTGAGCAAAGAAATTCACAAATTTCATAGTTTTCCAGGCACAAGTAGTTCAATGAAGAGGCTCTTTTTGGCGAATTAACTTTCCTTTGATTGGACAATAGTAACTAGTTTAATGCGTCTAGTCCTTGCTGTTTGGTGCAGACTGAATTCTATCAGTCAGGTTTGCAATGTGGCCACCATTCTAGGTAGCTCGGCATCATGGTGCACATTGATTTGATGATATGATGAATTAAAACTTTCCTTATCTGTAATAACCTATTCCTTTAAAGTCATGTATATTGGTCATTTGACGTGTATTGTGTCTATAAGGGATCACGAACATTATCCTGCATGGCTACAAAAAGGTAGTAGTGGTCCTATAAGGAGTGTGATTGCCAAATACCTTGTCAACCCTGGTCATCGAAGTATCTCAACAAATTTCTCCTTCAAAGTAATATAATATAAAGTGGAGAACGATTTGTCAAAGATAATGTGCTTTCGACATCTTTGGATTGGTTGAAGTTCTATCCATTCAGATAGAGAGACTGAAATTTTTCACACAAAAGAGAATTATTCAACCGCTTGTAATATAATAATAATAATTTTGCTTTATTCCAGAAACAGCACTAGTGGTACAGTGTGGAATTTTCAGCATATATCCACAATATTTGCATCTAATTTTATCAAACGTTTAAAAGGAGTATTTCAAAAAAAATAAATATAAAGACAACAACAAAAAAACACAAAAATAATTTTTTTTTAAATGCAAAAAAATACCAAGAAGTAGAAAGGAAAATAAATAACACAAAATAATATCTCAGTGTTGGGTAGTGGAAGCTATGATATGATTATGCATGGTGACAGTGAAGCTGTAGTCATACAAGAAGATATGAAATGATATCGCCAAGATGATCAGTTAATTTAGGTTGAAACAACACTAAACAATCATAAAATAACATTTCAGGGTTGTTGTTTTGTTTTCTATTGTCAGGTCTAATGCGGTGTTTGTAGTGGTAGTGTGAGTAATCCTGCATAATACAAAATTTTAAGATGGTGATAATGGCTTTCACAACCAATGATTGTCAGTTAATATTGCCGAGAAAAATAAAAAATAAGAAAAAACAACCACAAAAACTGATAATTACATGATGGTTAATGACCGGACAATTTTGTAATACTCATAGAGCTAATATAGTCGGAATCAGTAGATACACAAAAGAAGGAATAGAGTAAAGTACAAAAAAGCAAGCCAATATTAATAATTTAGGTAGCTAAGTATGTTTAATAAGGAGTTCACTATAGAATACAAAATAAGAGAGAAAAAAAATTGCCTAATATTATGTTGTTAATAACAAAGCAAGTCATAGGTTTCGCGCTTAACACTGTCTCTGTCACTTAGAACACGGGCCGAATATGGTGTCGTTGAGTTCCTGTACTTGGTTGTACCAGCATACCATGATAACACCTTTTCAATTTCTACTTACTTTATTTTGTATGTTTGCTGGTTTCTAACTATTTATAATTCTTGTATTTCTTTCAAACTTTTGGGTAATATCACGGGCATCTTAATTACAATGCAATAATTCGATTGTACAGCTGAAGAGAAAAATGAACTCTCGTTGAAGAGCCTTTCTGTGGAACTACCTGTTTTATTCTTTTCATAAAATTCTATCCTGTTTTGTTAATGGAGGCCCACTGAAAGTAGTATATCGAGCATTAGTTTTCACTTAAAGTTGAAAGTTAAATGGCAATAAAATTCGATTGACGACGGGGGAGGGATTGATGGTCTAATTGAGAACAGAATTATTTGTCAACAGGATTTCATCACAGAGCGATGTTAGTTAAGGAAGAAATTG